TCATTCATACGCCGGAACTTCTCAGTATAAATGTCATATTTTGTGCTGCAGCTCTCCTCTGTCAGAACCAAACAACATCCTCGTAAACCCCAGAGCTTCCTTTTTAAGCACCGCCATATTCCTCACCCAGAGGAACAGCCTCTCATAACACTGGCTGAGTTAGTGCCTCTGAGAATACTCAGTGATTTAAAGAACAGAAATGTATCTGGAGAGGATCCAGCACTACAGCAGCCGTCCTGAAGACTCTGACCTTCCAGTTGGAGACTGGGGGGGCTAAATATTGGTGATGTTGGGCCTCTGGAGGATTTGACGTTAAATGCAGCTAAAGGGAGACAGCTAAATGAGTGGCTCATGATAGAGAAAATTGAGCTGCTACGATGATTAAAAAATCTCTTAAGGGCACTAACTGCTCTGGAAACCCTCTCCTTTTTTTGGTTTTGTTCCATGGCCAATCCTTTGGGTTCATTTACAGTTCAACAGTGGAACAGTGGGTGTCTCAAGCTGATTAAAGGCCTTTCTAAGCACACATACAGTATATCCAGTATGCTTGGAAAGCTGTCCAATCAGCTAAGAGCCAGTTCAATCACATGAAACCCTGCAATAAATCCTTCCTTTGTGAAGCTTCTTATATTTAGGTTGACTGTAGTTTACTGTGTTGTTCCACTAGATCACATGTCCACACATGTACTGTATGGTGAAAGGAACATATACATAGCAAGTAAGCTTGTGACATCTTGAATTGTAGAGCTGCACTAAACCACTCTATTGTATGACATTTGAGGAATCCAGTGCACATTAATGCTGCAGTTCCCCTTTAACCTCTTGTTCATTGCTTTGGTTTTATGGCTCTACGGTTTGGTTGAGTCTCACAGCTCTCCACCACTAGCAGGCAGATGCTAGTGGTTTGTCAGTAAACATCTCTAATAAACCCACTGTACACTACCTGTAACAGCAGTGAACACAGTTAGATAGTAGCTGGTTAACATAGTGGAGAATTTAGCAGATAAAAAGACACATATGTTCCTTAGGAGTCGGTGGAAACCAAAACAGAGATAAAAGGGAAACAAGTGGACATTCAATGGACACAAACACTCCAACATATAGCTATCAAGTTGATGAGGTGAAACTGTCAGCTTCATCTTATTTTCTTTCACATCTTCCTGGATGATAAACTTCCTATAGACTTTTCTGCTTTCTATTTTCCCACTCGGGGCCCTGAAATCAATGCTACATTAAGAAGAGCGATGGTTTCTTGTGTTTTATTTTCCTCCTGTCCTCATTTCTCTGCTCAGGATGGAGGCATCGGTGGAGAAAGGGAAAAACGGCCATCTGAATCCTGCCTTTCACCTGAAGGTGGTCGGACCAATCAACAAAGCTAGCAGCCACAAGGGGGTGTGTGTGTGTGTGTGTGTGTGTGTGTGTGTGTGTGTGTGTGTGTGTGTGTGTGTGTGTGTGTGTGTGTGTGGTGTGTGTGTGTGTGTGTGTGTTGTGTGTGTGTGTGTGTGTGTGTGCGTGTGTGTGTGTGTGTGTGTGTGTGTGTGTGTGTGTGTGTGTGTGTGTGTGTGTGTGTGTGTGTGTGTGTGTGTGTGTGTGTGTGTGTGTGTGTGTGTGTGTGTGTGTGTGTGTGTGTGTGTGTGTGTGTGTGTGTGTGTAGTAACTTAACTGTTTCTCTTGCGGCCTTTTAGTGAATAATAGACCTTGACCTTCATATTAAATTGCCTCATTTTACAGCAACTTGTTATATTGTGTTACCACTTAGAGGCTGCCCCCTCCAGTGTTCACAGCAATACTCTCGTGCAATGTGCCTTCAGCATCATTTCCTCATGTCCCTTTTTCCTTCTTGCTATAATATGTATTTAAAATTGATTGGTTAGTAGGTCAAGGTTAGAGTACAAATACAAGAAGTACAAAGAGGTACATTATGAGGGAGAAGGTAATAAAATGAATACGCCTTCATAAGAATAACAAGAGTACAAATGCATCCGACATATTAATAAACAAAATGCAGCTCAGATGTATTTACTGTACTAAGCGTAACAGCTAGTAATGATAAGTAATGACAGAAACACTTAACGAGGTAATAAAGTGAGATACACAAAAATCTAAATTTGAACACATCTGGTTACTGGATAGAAAAGAGAGAGAAAGTAAAAGCATTAAATATAGAATAAGAAGTAAGTAAAAATCCTTAACATAAATGTAACAATTTAACAAGGTAAACAAATAAGATAGTAGTAGTAAAAATCAGCTAAACTAAATTCTAGGTGAGACAGAGTTGATGGTAAGAATTTTACATTTCTTGTCTGACATGTAATTTTCATATAACGCGTTGTAAATAGTAGGCACAGTTTCTTTCTTTGCTCATTCAGACCAGTTACTATGGTCTTTTATTTTTTCTAAATGTAGTTTAAGGAAACTTCTCCAGTCCATAAATTGATGTCAAAGATTCATTAAAGTGCACAGAGGTCATCAGGAACAACAGCTCCATTATATGGAATTGCGTTTCATCTGCATATCTAAGAAAATCAATCTTGTGCTCATCCACAATGTCTCCTAGTTCTAATATATGTCGAGAAAGTAGTGGACCCAGGAAAGAGCCTTGAGGCACTCCGTATGGAATGTTCGCTTTGAATCAGACAAATGGTGAGAGATCTCATTGCCTCATAGAATAAAACCATCTTAGGGAGCCTATAATAATGTTGTGATCAAACAATGACAAATGCTTAATTTAAGTCCAAAAGTAAGAATTACTTTTACAATTCACAAATCTCAACTGCCTACTGTACTGTAGGGACAAGAACCAGGTTACCCACATACTACTATTGTTTAACTGTTTACCTGATCCTTGTCCAGCTGTCTGGTCTCCGGCTGAGCCACTCCAACACTCCAGCATCCGGGGCACTAACCACACCCCACTGCCACATGGGGTTATTTCATATCTAACCAGAGCAGTTTCAGAACCATACCTCACTCTGGAACCAGACTAGAGCTTATAAATCAAATGATGTTTATGTTTTCTGTCCATTGGATGTAGACAAGCTTTTCCAAGATTTTGCAAGTTGATGTTGTTGTCTCTGTTCTGGTCCTAGCTTCCTCACACCAGCAAAGAGGTCCTGCCTCTCAGACCGGGCCCTGTGTCTAATGGCACCCAGCCAGTGAACATAGTGCGACCTCTGAGACCCAGCCAGTCCCCCATGGGCGGTTCCCGGGGTGTCAAGGTGGTTCGCCCGCCTCTGCCAGCCAGCAAGCCCCCAACGGCCCCACCTAAATCCCCTGCAACCCCACAGAGACTCAGCCCACCCAAGAAACCCCTGCCCCTGAACCCAACACGATCTCCACTGGTGAGGCCATCTTTCACCCGTTTCTTAGCTGTGAACAAATACAATTGAATTATAAAACTATAACCTAAAATGCATACTACCTAATGTAAAGGCCAGAATAGAATTGAGAAATGGAACAACTTATAGACAGGAAGCCACTAAGAATATATATTTTAGGAAACCGATTCTTACCTCTTCTCTCATTAAGCGAGAGGCTGACTTTTGATATTAAGTGTAGGGAGAACTACTATATAGGCATTCCCATTTATTGTGGTTTAATGTATTAAAAAAAACTAAATAAAATACCAACAGGACATCACCGGGAGCTGTCAGGCAGCCAGACAGTTGTTAAATACATCTCTATTTTAGTGAGAGTACTTACAGTACAGAAAGAGCCTCATAAAAGCAGACTATGTTTTGTGAGCTCAGGTATTTCTACAAGGCAGTGGATTATAAATTGCCTTCTGTACAATGGATTCAGCTAGGTCAGATTGACACTGGAGCAATTAGAGAATATTTATAGGATAATATGATTTAAGCTCCATTTGGGCTTCAGTATCTTCCTCTATAATTTATGTCAGTGGTCCAGAAGGCATTTAACCATCGCAAAATGACAGGATTTGGTCTGTAATAGAAATGGACATTGAGCAGCACCAGCCAAGAGAGAAAAGCATTACTTACCTGTAGCTGACAGTACAACAACCACATTCTTACATATCTAGAGAATGATGTGGTGTTCCTCTCCTGATGGCTTTTATTTCTAGGGAAACATGTTAAAATCACTTCACCTCTGCTAGACAAATATATCTATATCTATCTGAAAAGGGCTTAAATGCCACATTTCTGATCAACATATAAATAGAGCTCCAACTGCATAGTCGTTGGCTCACTCCAAATTCACTTGTGTTAAATAGTTTTGTCTCCAAAGATGCCATGTTTTTCCATTTAGAGAGTATTCAACAGCTGTAGTGAATCCCTGTTGAGACTGATACAAATACTCAAGAAATTGTCTGAAATCATCAGTTATTACACTTATTTTAGTATCAAAATGATCCAGGGATAGTTCAACACACAAACACTGCACAAAGGAACAGCTAATAGCGAATTCAGCATACACATTTGTAAAAAAGCTTAAAAATAACAGGGTTTAAGTTGTAGCCCAGGGAATTACTCACTGAATCCATGGTAACATATACTTCCTGTTTACAAAGTGTGGGGTGGGGGGCTGCAGATGTGCTACCTTTATATGAAAAGCCATGCTGTAAAACACGTATTATTGCTCCTGACTGCAGCTAAATGTATCATTTGTAAAAGTAATTCAGAACTATTAGCAGGTTCACAGAGCTGATGAGAAACCGCTGGACTTTCTCTGCCAGAGAATTCCTTACATGATTTCATCTGGAGAAACAATTAATAACATTTGTGGGTTTTTTTTATCTGATTGCTTTCTCATTGATTCATCCTCTCATCAGTGCTTCTCTTTGAAGCGAGTTTGAATGTCATATCGCTTTGTTTTGTTTTTGTCAAATATCCAATATTTCATGCGAGTTCACTTTGTGATCAGGGGACTCATTTATAAAGGGATATACGCTCAAAATATTGCTTACGCCAGTTTCTACGCAATGTTTGCGATTTATAAAATACTAACTTGACAGGAAAACGTGCGGTCCTCCACGCAAACTCTAACCCATGCGTACGCACTAAGCACAACAACGGGAGAGACGAGAAACTGCGACACCGTTGGCAGAAGGAAGAATGGAGAGAAATATGTGGAAATAATACCATAAACAAAATGTTACCTCTCATTTATCAGATATGAAGAATTCACTTTCAAACATTGATTGAAGCCAATCTTAAAATGATTAAACAAACGCCTGTTTGAGACTCCTCAGTGCACACAAAAACATAACTTGGAGAAATAAATAAATACGGATATGTTATTTAAAACCACCTCGAATATGTTGTGTTAATGTTATGAAATGTTTTCTCATAAATGATGCGGTAAGCAGGAGGACAGAATTACGTCTAAACTGACGCCGTGTTGCATTTCTATAGGTTGTAGGTACGAGCATGGTTTTATATACTATCATGTTTAATCATGTTTTATGCCGTTTGCCAAGACTTGATAAGTCGCTCAAACACAGGAGGTATGGAAGCTAAGAACACCATATGTGGTAAATTGTACAGCTGATATAACACAACACATTAGTTGTATTTCTTTTAACTGGTGGATATAGAGTTGCTGGGGAGGGGGGGGGGGGTGGGGGGGGGGGGTTGAGACGCACAGGCTGCAGTGGAGACGCTGCGCACAGCTGATCGACAGCTGGAACACAAACCACCACATACAAAAACATAATTCAGATCCAGTCGTCATGACTCCACTCCGGAGGGATTCCCCGATCAGGTCTTACAGTCTCTCATCAAGGGGGGGTCTCCTGTCCCCGGTACAAACACACTGCCTGAGGAAGGCTATGTGTATTGTTTTTGTCATTAACCTTTTTCGGACCACTTATTTATTTATGTTGGTGACGATCCGACCTCCATGCTGCTACTCTGGTTCAAACTGCATCCACCAAACAATATGATTTAGCTCGACCTCCCCAAAATAACCCACTTCTGACACGGTGTGAGATGTCTTTTTTAGCTGTTCTGTCGTCATTTCCTGCGATCTTCTTCATAAAGTCAGTCAGAATGAATGATTGAATGGGCGTTTCTTTGACTATTTATAGGCAAATATGGGCGTTACGTGAAGCCCGCAAAAGCTGCACCGCATTTCGAGTCGGTTGTGATTTATAAAGGGAAACCGGCGTAGGAAGTGCCGTACGCACTTTCCTCGCCGGTGCGCAATGTTTGGTGAATCGGGAAGTGGTGGAAAATGTATGGACCTATTTTTCGGATTTCTACTACGTAGGCAACCTTCCCACGTGAATCCTACGCACGGCGTTATAAATGAGGCCCCTGATCTCTTCTGTAGTGGTAGTTTGAATTAGGGCTGCTCAATTAATCGTATTTTAA